CATCCAAACATCCATCCATCCAACCAATCAACCAACCAACCAACCAGCTAACATCCATCCAACAAACTAACATCCATCCAACCAACCAACCAGCTAACATCCATCCATCCAACAAACATCCATCCATCCATCCAACCAACTAACATCCATCCATCCAACAAACATCCATCCATCCATCCAACCATCCATCCAACAAACTAACATCCATCCATCCATCCAACCATCCATCCAACAAACTAACATTCATCCATCCAAACATCCATCCATCCAACCATCCAACCAACCAACCAACCAGCTAACATCCATCCAACAAACTAACATCCATCCAACCATCCATCCAACAAACTAACATCCATCTATTCAACCAACTAACATCCATCCATCCAACCAACTAACATCCATCCATCCAACCAACCAACCAACCAGCTAACATCCATCCATCCAACAAACATCCATCCATCCATCCAACCAACTAACATCCATCCATCCAACAAACATCCATCCAACCATCCATCCAACAAACTAACATCCATCCATCCATCCAACAAACTAACATTCATCCATCCAAACATCCATCCAACCAACCAACCAACCAGCTAACATCCATCCAACAAACTAACATCCATCCAACCATCCATCCAACAAACTAACATCCATCTATCCAACCAACTAACATCCATCCAACCAACTAACATCCATCCATTCATTCATCCATCAAGTCCATTTAAATATCTTGTATAAACATGTATTGATTATTGACACATAAGGAAAAATAAAGAAGTTATCAGCATTTTGATTCTCTCCGACATCACCGTCTCAGCACAGCTTCCTCCACTTCGCTTTCTCCCCTTTTCTCTTTGTTTTTTAATAAATAAATTTTAAAAGACAGTAATTGTTTCTTTCAGGGTCTAAGTGAAAGTAAACACAGTTAGCTAACAGGATTAGGCCTCTCCAGCTGAGGCAATCACATTTTGTTTGTGCTGAAAGAGAAGCCTGCTACTAAATTAATTACTCTTCAGGTGGCCGCGTGTTGAGATTGCTCTTAAAGTCAAAGCATTGTGACTCAACCAGTCAGCTGCTGACAGAGGTGAGAAAAACGGAGATGGAAGAAAAGCGTGACACAAAGCAGCGGAGAGAAACGCTCGATAAGTGATGGGGAACTGCCGATCTGTTTCTGAACATTTACACACATTTCAGCTCCAGGAAGACATTTTAATCAGCATGTATTCAACAAAATATAGCAAAAAAAATTTACCAAGAAATTAAAGTTTGTTGTGAAAAGCAGGTGTAAACTCATAGCAATTTAATTAATTTATTTCATTAACTTGTGTTCAAATCCTTTTGAATACAAGAGAACTTTATTTATGCTGAAGACTGTTGAGATCATTCATGAACTGGAAACCAATAATTTTCATTTGTGGAATAGAAAAATAAGTGTTTTGAAAACTTTCTTTGACATTTCTCAATAAATGTCAAAACACTTCCTTCCTGGCACTTCCTGGCTTGGATTACAACAAAATGTCCAAGAAAATTATCAGGTTTCTACGGAAGAGGATTAGGGCCACTGAAAAAAAAATCTGATTTTAATCTCAAAATTCGGACTTTTCTCAGAATTTTGAGATTTCGTCAGCATTCTGAGAAAAACGTCAGATTTCTTTTGTTTTCCCATTGGCACTAATCCTCTTCCGTAGGTTTCTATATAATAATTACATTTCTAAAACTGGCGTTTCAGGAGTTGCAATTTCAGAAAAAGTTGAACAGCATCTTAAAAACTGTGCTGCAGCAGTGCACAAATCTTTAATTCATGAAAACGGATTTTATTTAACATCCAAGGTAAAGATTTTAAAGCACAAACTGAGACCTGAAGGTGTTATGTTGTAAACTTTAGCTGTTAGCAAACTGTTATTGTTCAGCTACAATGTCTGCTGCTGGCAGAACAAGATAGAAAAAAAATATCTGCATTTTATTATCAAATAAACACTTGGAAGAAAAGCCTTCAGCCGTTGAATCGGCTCCCACCAACGTTCACAGCTTCTTCTCTGGTCCTTTGAGGAAAACAGTCGCCCATCCCTGTAACTGGAACAACATCAAACTCATTCGCTTCAGATTTGCCTTTCAGTATTTTTCCAGAAACGACGTTCACATGTAAAACTCCCAAACAAGTTTCCAGCGACATAAAAAACTGCAGCAGGCTGAGATTATCGATTAGCTTTAATGTTTAATGTTCAGACTGTTAGTTATTTCTGGCAGCTGAGTCCGCCGTCTCTACGTCCAGGTTTCGAGGGTTTTTAAAAGAAATTTGTGCAACAAATCTTCCGAGGCAGGAGCGTCTATAATGAGGCGCCAGTACTTGGTGTTTGGCACGGCTGATTGTTCCTCTGATATCCTCCCATGCTTTTAAAAGGCTTGTTGTGTGAATGTGTGCTGCACATTAGCAGAGTGTGTGGTGTGCTTTTGGCAGCGGTGCTGAGTGACAGCATGCCAGACCGTCCTGTTTGGCGCTCACAAGTGTTGACTGTGGGCCGGTGCCTGTGTGTTAGTGTGTGTATCGGGTTTTGAATTACCACCCACTCCACACCAAATGCATGTGAAGGTTTTTTTTTTTTTGGGTCGGTAAATCAATGGGACTGACCCACATTGCTGCTGGCTGATTAGTTAATGAGACGAGAACAGCTAAAGGACCGTGTTGCCTGTGAGCGTTGATGACATTTTAAGAGAAGTTTGAAGAAATCTTGCATGTTTTTTTATATAACTGAGCCGGCAGAAGGCTGTTTTTACTAATTTAAAAATTTAAAGGGCAGGTAATGTGCAAAATTCACATTTTGAACACTTTTATACTTCCGTTTGGGTCCAAGTGCCCAGCTGTTTTCTGGCAATAAGTTAATGTTTTTTGGGTTTTGGGGAAAATTTTGGGTAAGATTTTGTGTTTTTGCAGTGGAGACGTTAAAAGCATGGGTACCGTTTGGTACCGTTGTGTTTTAAGCAGAGATTCTTCTAATGGTAGTAATCCCTGCAACCTTTATCAACAGGAAGTGATTCGCAGTCTGGTGAAGAGATACGTGGCCGCCATGATACGAAGCGCCAAAACGGACGAAGGGCTGACAGAGGAAAACTTCAAGGTCAGTTTGGGGAAACTACTTCTCAAACACAGCAATCAGCTACGATAAGCCACCTCTTTTTCCTGTCCTGCATCTCCGGCCGCTGAGCTGCACAACCATCAGCTGCACAGAGTCTGTTTATAAGCAGCGCCGCTTTTATTGATACCAGAGGCAGAGCTGCTTTTTATTGTGCCAAAGATTTACTGAAGGACTTTTAATAACAGCCAGATGTCCACTCTCAAGCACTTTCTCTAACAAAATCTGCTGTTCAGACTCTTCTCTGACGAGGCTTCTTTAGTCTTTCCCCATTTTCTTTCTTTCTGAGCCATAAATTATTTGAAGCATCTTTACCTCCTCCTCAGTAGATTTCCCATGATGCCTTTGGAGGCCGGCCCTGAGCTGCTTTGAAGCAGAAGGTTCCTTTGGGCTTTTCAGAGAAGAAACAACATCAGGTGCACAGCGAACTGAATCACTTTGCTGTGCTGAAGGATGTTTGTCTTCGTGTTTGAGCGTACATGTTTACGTTAGTCCAATCAGGCAGAGGTCGAGTCCGTGTGCTGAATTAATGCATAAATATCATGTTGTCTGAGGAATAAATCCATATTCTGAGACCTGATTTTTAAGATTTTAAAGACTTAATATGTATCTATTAGGAAATAGAAATCTAGCAAGAAGAAGCCACATATATGAAAATATTAGCTGAAAGCAGAACGAAGCTCCCAGACATCTAAAATAGTAATTAGTTGCTGAACTAAACCGTAGCCGCAATCACAACAAGAAAACGTATTTGCTGGAAAAAGGCTGGGTGAAGTAATTGAAAACCAACTGAGGGACTTAAAGAGGGTGTGTTATGTAAAATCGGCTTTTTGAGCTTTAAATGCATGTTTAAGAAATCGTTTAGTGTCCATGGCAACCACTCAGAGGGGCTAAACACCTGAGTGCACCTAGCTCCGCCTTCAAGACGAAGCTCCTCCTCCTAACTATATTTCCCAAGCTTTCGCCAATGAGAACTAGTAGGAACACTTTGGTGGAAACTTAAAGAGCTTTGAAAGAAAAACTGTATTCATTTTCCCTTTGGAATAAATAAAGTATTTCAGAATCAGAACTGGGTCTGAGAAACGTATATCCTAAATATCTACTTCACGAGATGAACTAAGGTTTTCTCATCCAGTTTTTCATTTTCTTCACTCCGTTGTCAGTGTTTTTCACTCTACAGCCAGATAAAGCTACGCGTTTCACTGGAGAGAGCCCTGAATGATCTCACTCTCTTTCCTGATGCTTTCAGCAGTTATTCCCTCTTTACATCAGTTGTTGCTGTTCTCCGCTCATCCTGCAAAGTCCTTACCCTCCTCTTCACCCTGAGCCTCCACTCACTGACAGTTTAACTCCCCGATCATCAGCTCGATCTCAGGCACTTACTCTCCTCACCTTCTTCTTCCCACTTCTGGTTCTTCTTTCATGTTGACTAAACCGTTCAAAAGGGATCTATTGTGTAAAAAGTCACATTTTTCGTATTTCTATTTGACTTCTAAAAACAGCTAAAGCGCTTTAAGAAAAAACCCAGCCAGCCATTTTGGGCAGCAAGTTAATCGTTTTTAGTGTCTGGAAAATGAGTCATTTCTTAAATCTCCGTTACCTAGCAACCCAAGCCAACCCCAGCTCCGTTACCTAGCAACCCAAGCAGAGTTCCAGCATGTTTTTGTTTATTTGGATCATCCCCATTAGAAATTGCCGTTACAATGGCTACTCTTCCTGAGCTCAATCATAAAAAACCCAAACATTTATTACAAAAACATTTACAGGCATAAATATAACATTAGTAATTAGTAGCATAATGATTCATAAATGTACAATTACAACACTTTATATAATAGAAGAATTAAACGGGGCTCTTTTAAAAGCTCTATCATGTTTGGTCAGCTATATGCAGTGTACAATGGCTGCTGGAAAAGACAAGTGTTTTATTGTTGACTTACCATCCAGAAACCACTTGCTGCATTGTTCTTGGTTGTGCAGGAGGCTCCATTTCTGCTTTTCAGATTTGTACGGTTGTATAATTGCGCATCTGTTTGCGGCCAGTTTCATATGCGAGTGTAAACATTGAGTTGGGGGGCGTGGCCAACAGCAGCTTATTTGGATTGTTTTTGGATCCTAAAACAACTCAAAATAGGCAGAACTGAGCAAACTAAAGTCTCATTATCTAAGAATGATTTTGTGCAAAAAATTTAATGAATTTTGTATAGCCCATAGACCTTTAAGGCTTGAAAATGAACCTTGGCTCATCCAGATATGATATTACCAATCTTTCTGTTCTCTATCTCTGTGCAGGAGTTGAAGCAGGATATCTCCAGTTTCCGCTATGAAGTCTTGGATCTCCTCGGCAACCGGCGTCCTCCCCGGCGTCACTATTCTTCATCCAGCGAGACGACAAAAGACGATGGCGCCATGGCGTCAGAGGATGATAGCGAGTCAAGTGATGGCCCTGGAGAAGGAGGTGGAGGAGGAGGAGTTGGAGTCCAGAAGTCGAAGAGCGTCACCTTCTCCAACCCGGTGGAGGACGACAGAAGGCCAGCACCAACGCTCGGCGTGTCTGCACTGGTGCGCTCCATTTCAGGAATGACGCGGATAGACAAAGCAGAGGAGGGGAGACTGGAGGACAGAGTGGGGTGGGGAGAAGAGGAAGAGGAAGAGGAGGGGAAACCAAAAAGCAACGGGCTAAAGACGGCCGTCATGCCTCCGTCCTCCACCAATGTCCTCCCCTCTCCATCGTCATCATTTTCCTCTTCGGTATCGTCATCGCTTGCTCGCACAAGGAGCCGCCTGCAGCGCCTCTCGTCCCCAAGCGCGAAGACAGACTCTTTCAAACGCCTCTCCTACCTGTTCTCCCGCTCCAAACGCAAAGCCCCGCCCACGCCGCTGCCTCTCCAGTCCCCGCCCTCGTACACCATCTCCGACGGGCTGCTCCGCCCCCTCGGGAGCCACAGTCACTCTGACTTCGGACTCAGCGACGTCACCAGGAGCGACACTCACCTGAATGAGGTGGGTCGCTCGGTGGACATGCCGTCATTCTCGCCGCTGAGAACCAATGGGCGGGACTCGCTCCTGACGCTTCCCCTCCCACCGCCGTGCCCCTGCCAATCCCTGCACTGTGCTTCCAACATGTCTGAGTCCAGCTCGCGACTCCTGGACTCCAGCGAGGACGTTTTCCAGGGAGAGGGCATAGAAGGGGCAGGCGAAGGAGGCATGGATGGAGGCGGCGGCGGGGGAATGATGATGATGGGCGGGTGGGTGGGACCATGTGACGATGTCTTAGAGGACAGCTGCGATGTCATAGAGGACTCTGTTACCACGCAGCTATAGGAAAAAGCCGAAACTGTTTTTCTTTGCCTGTTTGCTCAATACAAACAAAGATGGCATGATACAGAGAGAGAGGGGCATGGACACAATGCAGCTGTTGGATCTCTGCATGACCAACTCTGGATTTATCTGGGCTTTGACTTTCCCAACTGTGACAGGAGGAGGGATCCAATATGGCAGATGTTTATGGAGACAGTTTGACTCCTTTTGGGGGGTTTTCAGGTGACATGGAATATATATTTGTCCACTGTTGTTGGTTTAACTCTTCAAGGGCTCTGCTCAACTAAATATGTGTAAAAACTCAGTGCACACCAATGGATCTGTGACCAAAGCAACTAGCTAGCTATAGGTTGCCTAACCAGCTAGCTAACTAAAGATTTTAAATGTTAACTTAGATTATCCACTTTCCAACAAGGGATGGAAAGTGGATGGTAGTGATGCAATATTTTATTATCTGCTGAGCTAATGTTAAATGTTATCAGCCTGACCACTAATTAGTTTAGCTACAATTAGCAATAGTAGCTAGGCTACAATTAGTTTACCAAAGCTAATATTAGCCAGGGTAATTGTAGCTTAGGTTCAGTTGTTTCTGCTCATCTGGAGAAAGTTACGGGACATCCATGTGTTAGCTTGTTTTATGTAATGTCAGTGAGAAAACTAGCTAGCTGATTAACCAATGTGCTAACTTTAGCTAGCTAGCAGCTAAGAAATAGCTTGTTAGCGACTTGATATCAGTTTGGCACTTCTGAACCTATATCATACAGCTAACTAGCTAATTTTAAGTTCTCTGACAAAGTACCAAAAATGGATTTGCCACTAAGGTGAGCTAACAGCTACCTAACCTCCTAGCTGGTTTTAAAGCTATTAAGCCAACATTAACAAGCTAATTTTCTGATAACTACCGTGTTTCCCCGAAAGTAAGACAGTGTCTTACTTTCTTTTTATCCCCAAAAGCCCCACTATGTCTTACTTTCGGGGTATGTCTTATATTGGAAAAAAATTGTCGAATGTCGAATGAACGTATGGAGAGGGGGACGGCGCAGGCGTGGGCAGGAGGCGGCGCTCATTTGGATCAGACGGAGGCGGCAGACACGGTGACGTATGGAGAGGGGGGGACGGCGCGGTGACGTATGGCGGGGGGGGACGGTGCGGACGTGGGCAGGAGGCGGCGCGCAGCTAGATGAGAGGTGTTTCCCCGAAAAGTAAGACATATGTCTTACTTTCGGGGTACGGCTTATATTAGCCGACCCCCCTGAAACCCCCGATACGTCTTACAATCGGGGGTGTCTTACTATCGGGGAAACAGGGTAACTAGTTAAAAGTCGCTAACAAGCAAATTGGCTTGAAATCAACTTTGCACTAGTTTGAAAACTTTTAAACCAATATCATCCAGTCTGCCACTAGCTAGCTATTGTTTTGCTAGCTGGCTAGCTACCGTAAATATAAAGTATCAGGCCTCATTTAAACAGGATTTAAAGGGGCTTCAAATATTTCAGGGGATTTACTGAGACTGAATTACTGAAGAGCTACCAAAAGGAAGGAATCATATAAAAGTTAACAAATAAATTTAGTTGTAAAAAGTAGTGGAGAGAAGCTAACGCTTTCGACCTAAATGTGACATTAATGTCATATGTGTTTCTTTTAAAGGATGAACAATCTTGAAAACACAATTATTAATCTGAATTTAATTTGTCACTCAACTGAAAACGTCTCCATTGACGCCAAGTTGAAAAACAGATAATCGAGGCGAAAATGTTTCTTGAACAGCTGTTGTTCCTGCCCAGCCTGACTCAGTCAAAGCAAACTGTCCTCATAAACATTTCCCAGGAAGACCAAAGGACGACGTTTCAACAGAAACTCTGAAATGTCTCTCATTCCTCTGGGCGATGGAATTACAAAGAGCCGAGGCGACTTTTCAGAGAGGAAACATCTTTAAAATCTTCTCCACTTACCAGGAGTCTGCCCTGCGAACCGAACGTTGCATCTGCAGTGGAATAAACCGGATTTAAATGTTTCTGAATGTTGGATGGAACTACCCCTTTACCTCCAAGTGGAATATTGAAAATAAAGGTGCCATGCTTTCAGTGGAATACCTCCGTTTTACCTGTGGACTGATGGATTTAAGTCCAACTGGATCTCTGGGACAAAATGGAGCGGCATGGAACCAGCACTCTGCTGTCGTAGTCTGCAGCCTCTCTCTCTGCATCAACAAGGGCCAAGGAACTTTATTTCATCCTAATACGAGTTATACTAGTAATAATAATTAAGAATATAATAATAATAATAATGAAACTGCTAATAATAATTAATAATGATAATAATGAGGACTTTTCTGGTTTCTTCAGACTGTCTTTACTTCTGTTTGAGTTGCCGACAGTACCTGGGCTTCTCGTTCAGCTCTTCCTCAATAAGTACACTTTGACCTGGTGAACAGAAATAAATGGTGAACGAAGACGAAAGACGAGTAAAAGGCAACAGAAGTTTTACTTTAGTAAAAAGAAGGAATGAGAGGAGACAGGAAGTGAATGAGTGGTGGATGGACATGAACAGGAAATTCAGTTTTAAAGGCAAATTTCACCAGAATTTCATCATATTTTTTCTTATCTTGGAGTCGTTAAGGCTGCGACTTCAAAAGGTTGGCATGAGCTGAGGCTGTTAACTTTTACTCTGGATAATATACTACTGTCGGCAATGAAGTAGAGAAATTATGCATGTTTGATCAGAAAAACACAGTTACCTACAACACACACACACACACAGCAGGTGTGATGAATAGCTTCGAGTCAAACGTTCTGCCCTTTGTTTCGTCTCTCAGGAGTCGTCCCTCTTCAACAGGGTGACATCATCCCTCGCTTTTTGCATCCGTTATTTCTCCGTCCTCCCGTTTATTCCTCTCCCTCTGGCGGACATTGTGACCTCGCTGCCGGCGATTTTGGCGTCAAAACGCCTCGACATGTCAATGAATCAGCGTCCCAAAATGTCAGGTCTGCAACCATGGCGACCCGTTATCCGCTCGGCGTCCCGTAGCGTCACGGCCAGAAGCGCAGAGCTCCACTTGGAGTCAGAAACCGTCCTGCTGCCTCCTGGCAGAAATACGGCAGATTTCTGTCCTTAGTTTCTGAACGTCAACGAGACTTTGGGGGTTTTACATCAGCAAACGACCCAACATCAAGTTTTACTTTAGCTGAATGGCCCTATAACTATTCATGGGAGATAAAGTACCGGTAGTACGGGAGAAGATTAGGGCCACTGGAAGAAAAAAAGGTTTCCGACCTGTTCAGAAATATGAAATTAAAAGTCAAAACTGAGATTAAAAGTCATAATTCTGAAGAAAGAAATCAGAATTCTGGATTAAGGTCAGAATTTAGATTTTAAAAAGTCAGAAATATGATGTTAACAGTTAGAATTATGAGATTGACAGAATTTGGATGTAAAAGTAAAAAATCTGAGATTAAAAGTCAGAATTATGTGATTAAAGTCAGAATTCTCAGATTAAAAGACAGAAATCCGAGATTTTATAATAGATTTTATCTTGCTAGCATGTTGTAGCATGTTTGTCAAAAATTTGCTATAAAAACCAACAAAATGTTGGGTTCATTCTCAGAAATTTTCTAGAAAATATTTGGAACTTTCTGATTTTGAAAAGTCGAAAAGTTTCTTGGGGAAAAAAAAACTCAGTTTGTGTTGAATCTCAATTTTTCTGGAAAAGCTCGCATCAAGAGGCAAACATTTTTGACTGGGAGTTTCATAAGTAAAACCTTTTTACTCGGAAACGTTTACTTTTTTTTCTAATACATTTAGAAGCTTATTCTCAAAATTTCTGAGTTTTTTCAAGCAAATGTTTGGCATTTACTCAGAAATTTACATGTTTTTTGTAGAAAATTTCTGACATTAACCTCAAAATTTCTTTTTGCAGGAATTTACTCCCTTTTTTCTTTCTATAGCTGAACGATTGACATCTGTTGGGTCAAACACTTTGTCAAAGCGCTTTATTGGTACTTTGTTAGATTACTGTGAACCAGTGAAGGTTATGGAGGCCTTTCTGGTTGAGCTTCACTCAGACATGCTGCTCAGTAACACACATGAAGATTTATGAAAGCAAACAAACATCCTCTGCATTTCAGGACTCAGCTTTTCAGTCATCTCTGACCGATCACTGCGATGGGAACCAGTAGATCTTACAGGATGTTTCAGAGACAACTGGGAGGTGAGATTTTAACGCTGAAACGAGGAGCCCTTATTACCACGGCATTAGTTCATAATATGTAGAAAAATATAATAATACTGTACTTTCTGGCGCAGTGAGGACAATCAATCACCATGAGAAATGGGCTCCAGTTTCGCCATGTGGGTCCGTACAGGCGCTGCAGGCCCATCGATCCACTCACAGCCCATGATTAGATTCTGTTGAGGTCCTGATTCACGGTGATTGATTTAGATTCGTGCACAGCTAGCATGCATCCGTCTGCACTCGTGTTGTTCTGCGACTTCACTTCTCCAGGATCCAGGTTAGACGCCGTTCAGCTGAGACATTTAGTCCTGATGGTTCGCCGGGGATAAACGAGAAGATGACGATGGGAAGAAACATCAAAATTTACATTGAAAGAGTCGAAACACACAGATGAGACGAGGCAGATTAATTACTTACAAGTCCAATCTGCAGGTTGGACTGTAAATTAAGGCAGGATGGGAATCACTTACAAGACTTAGTCATGTCAAAACTGCAAAAACACTAAATCTTACCAAGTAGTTTAAGTCCAGTTTTTAGTGAAAATGTCTTAGCGCACTTGAATTAAGACAAAACTAACTTAAAATAAATATTTTCAGCAAGATACAGGACTTTGTTTTTTCTTTAATATTGATTAAATAGTGTTAGATCCATTGACAGATTATTTCACGTCTAACGTGGGTAAATTTATCTGCCAACAAAACTGGAACGTTTTCATCAATATTAAGAAATTGTTTACTTAAAACAAGCTCCTATATCGCTGAAAAGTCGCCTCCAAGTTTGTTTTCTCTTATATTAAGTGTAATACGATATTTGCACTAGAAATGAGACTTAAATACTTGGTAAGATTTTGTGTTTTTGCAGTGTTAACGCTTCAGTAGACTGTTGCCTTATTAAAAGGAAAGCATCAATTGTTTTCTGTTTAGTTGGTCAAATTTGTACCATTTTCAACTTGTGGCTAGCGGCTAGTTCATATGTCACGACTATGATGCCCTCACAGTGTTTTGCTCTTACAAAGCTACACAGCTAGCTAGAAATAATCCAGATTATTATTATAGGACTGGATTAATCATCTATAAATTATTCTTTATAAAACTGTAACAAAACACAAACGAAGCGTCAACAAGACAAAACGCAGAAAGCAACCGGACCGATAGTTAGCTAAATGCTACATTTAGCTAGCGATGTAGCTTAGCTTTGAATTTCAGTTGGAGAACACTGAACAAACCTTTCCTGGTAAAATGTTATACATTAAGTTTGTATGCAATGTTATGAAATAATAACTAGTAAAATGAACTTATAGACGAATAAAATCCCAGGAACAAACGTGTCCAGCCGGAGCGGTTCTGCTCATCTGACCAAATTAGAAACTCTGCACAGTCTCCATCCACTAGGTGTCAGTAAAGCTCCAATTCAAAATGCGCCGGAAACGCGGCAGCTGCGTCAGATCGAAATTGTAAACATATTTTATAAACAGTCGATCCAGTCTTTATCCATCTGATCGTTGATTAATTTTGAAATATCCAGTCTATTTCAAACACATTTTGTTTTTTAAATCATTCAAAGTCTTCTGTGACTTTTCAGTTTGGCGTTTTGCACAAAAGTCATGAGATTTTAAATCTTTTATTCCTGAAAATGTCATTTTCAACAAGAGCCTCGAACAGCTTCATAAAACCAGATGGATTAAATTTGTATTCATGTTTTTTTTCTCTCATTTTTTAAAGCGGGGAAATAGTTTGACTCGTCTGTTCATCACACACACACACACACTACATACGGCACACGGCATCATTCAGGTTCCCCTCTCACCTACTAAAGGGATTTTTAGCTTTAAGAATAAAAACTGTCCTTGTTTTTCTTTGTTTTTACGGATTTCCACATGAATGAATGTATGACTGTGTTATTTTTCTAGAACTGGACGGCTAGCGCACGTTGTTGACTCTTTAATAAAGGCATCCTTAGAAAACTCTGTTTGTGGGGTTTAACTTCACTTCTTTCTTTGTGTCAAGAAAACAATCACAAAAAAAGAGAATAAGCTTGGAACAACATTTAGGGTTGATTTTATTTAAAAGTGATTAAAATTTAAATTGCAGATTCTTATACTTGTATATGACTCTAAACTCAAGTTTACTTTTATTTCCTTTGTTTTAACTCAGCAAAAATAGTTATAAACTGATACGTTTCTTAAAAGCAAAGAATAAAAAGTGCCTTTAATTTAAAACACTTGTTTTACGCAAGTGACCAGGTTTTGTAAACCTCATCAATCCATAAAACTCTGACATAAAATTTGAGGAAATACGTTTCTGCGCTACAGTGTGATTTGTGGTTGTGAAAGAGAAAATGGCCGCTCCGATCAGAAACCCAGAGCTGTAGCTGGAGTTATTTCTAGAGCCTGGAAGGGACCGTAACTCCATCCAGTCGTTTCTTTCTGCTGCTTCTGGCAGAAAAGAGCAAATAAAAAAACTAAAAACACCAACAGGGTAGAATGATACATAAAACATCAACTATGATTTAAAATGATCTAATATGCCTGTAAATTTTCATTCACGTTTCTCTAAGTTACACACTAATACATTTAGTTTAACTTGTTGTTCTACTGCGGATTAATGCTGCCTCTTTAGAAATGTTGCGCCAATATTTGCATTTAATCTGAGCTTCCTCCTCCTCCGTCTGATTTTGTGAATCTTGCAAAGCAGCAACGTACGGACATATTTTCAAATAAAAACTTGTTTTGATTACAAGAGAAAAGTTTAACGCCGCAGAAAAATAACTTAACAATGTCAAAATAAATAGAGATAATGTGATACATTTGTTTCTAAGCTGAAAAATCTACAAAGGACACTGTGGCCACCCCTTTGATACGGGGCGCTCTGGGCCAGCACCCAACCCTGAAACATTTTGTTAAAGTTTCTGCAACAAAACAATTCAAACCTATTTGAGTTTAAAGAAAATCACTTTATTTGATAGACGAGAGGTTACAAAGACAATCCTGTTTAACTTTAAACTTTGTTTTCCTCTCTAGCATTAAGAATAAATATGTAACCATTTGAAAGATAAAGTTCAAGTCGGTACAAAAAGCCACAACAAAAGCAAAGTTAGCAAGTTTATCATAACCGCTATTGTAGTTTTTGTTGTTGTGGCTTAAGCTACCTGAACCACATACTTTGGTATAAAAATGGGTTTATTCTCAACTAAATGACTGCAAAGTGTGACAACATAATAACATAAATAACCTCCATCACAGTGCGATAGTTGATGGGTACGGTGGCCCAGAGGGGTCAACATGATGCAAAAACCACAACCGCATCTTCAAGCAGAGCAGCAAATCTGCCACAGAACAGCTGAAAAAGAAAATGAGGTACTAAATGTAAACATTTGGACTTTTCTGACCCTGATTTTCCAGAACTCTGATCTGAGGAAAATGTTGGACCCAAACTGAGCAGATTCTTGTTGCTAATCAGCGGAACATGCTAACTGTTTTGAGTTTAACCTCTGCTATCGATAACGTATTTCTAAACAGGTTTTGCACTGAAGCAGCAGAAAACAAACTTAGACTTTCATTACATATTTTCTACCTGGCGGCCATATTGGATTCCTTCAACCAAGAGAGAAAACCACTAGAGAGGGCCAAAGCTGCTGAAGATGGTTGAATAATCAGCTTTTCCCATCAGTCTATATTGGTGCTGCTGTAAATTTTCACAGTTTACCTCAATAACATCTCAAATGCTGCAGCAGGTTACTTTGAAGCAGACAGATTTTCAGTATGTTTGCGTAAAAGCAGCTTTGTTCACAAACAAAGACTGTGTTTCTTTTCAGATCATGTTTGTGGTTCACTTGTATTTCAGCACTTATTGGTTCAACCAGAGCGACGGCGCTTTACAACAAGCTGCCATGTAATCTGTATTATTTTATGTTTTTAGAGGAATAGCTGAAAAGCAGCAGAGATGAGAGTTTGTCCAACAAAGCGCCGGTTTGCCTGTTGTGTGGGCTGCATGGCTGCATAAAAACCAGCTTTCATCTTTCTTTCTCTCTCCACATCAACCTCCCCTCCACCAACTCAGTGTCAAGTCCTGCTATGAGACACGCTCCGATCTGCAGCAGCGTATGTGTGTGTGTGTGTGTGCTGACTGTCCTTTTGGCAGGCAGCAGTACACTGAAGCACCTCTCAGAAAAACTGCACTATTATTGAACCGCTGAGAATCGCTCTTATCTGGCTGTGAAACTCTCTTTCACACACACCCGGGTTCAAACAAATACATTCAAGCACAGGAACACATTATACTGCTGCTGAAAGTTCACACACACACATGTCTAATTATTAATTTAGATTAAAGCCAAATATTATCTCAGTTATGACACAAATATGTCCAGTAAACTCATTTCTTTATGAATTTATTTTTTTTTTCATTTGTCTTTTTTTTCTAGTAGCAGGAAATTTCTGATTTCTGGTTTAGATTATTTATATATTAATTACCTTAATTTATTTCTTTTTTCTTTTTCAGCTGTTTTGTTGCTGATTGGGTTTTCGACCCAATTTGGACCCAATAGGTTTCATAACTTCCTCTAGAACATTTTGGTTTAAGTTTATGGTGGACTTAGCAGCTGCGTTTCAGTTACAAATATGTGGAAATCTTTGTCTATATTCTGCTAATAAGGTAAGGTAATTTTCAGCATCCATGCAGTTCAAAGTGCTTGACATGAATTAGAAGGAAATACAAGCAAAACAACAAATGAAAACAAAGACAAAAAGGTACAAAACTAAATATTGGTTCCCCATGTTTAATAAAAATAAGAGTGAAAAGTCTATTTATAAACTGATAGAGGTTTCTCTGGATCTTAAGTTTGACACACAGCTTTTCATGAAATGGGGCGATGCTGAGAAAGCTCTGATGAAGCCAAAATGTCAGAAAAAACTAAAACAAACCATCATCCTCCTACCACTTCCTGTTGTCTTCTTTGTCGTTTCCACCAGTAGTAACATCCAGCTGTTGATCACAAAAATTATTTCCATTGCAGTTTATATATATATATATATATATATATATATATATATATATATATATATATATAAAACATATATAACATATATAAAATAGAGACTTTCATTTGCATTCATTAATATCTTATGTTTAACTGGTTCCTTTGTGGTTTAGCAAGGAACTCCAGGTCATCACAGCAGTTCAGTGTAGTTATTTTTTAGATTAGTAATAATCTAAACAGATCAGCTCTTATTTTGTTCTATACAAATCTATTTGCATTAGAAGAATGCTGCAAGTGTAAGGATTTAGTCTGAAAAATTTGATCATTGGTCTCCATTAGCCACAGACAAGTTATTCTTAAAAATACTGTTATTGTTCAGCTATTTGTCTGCTTCTATCAGCCAGATGTGATTAATCATCAGAAATCACGTCTACTTGGACATAGCGCCCCCTGCTGGAGACATCTAGGAATTACAAGACTACTGAATTCAAACAGAAGGCGTCACTATTTGAAGCATACTATATTGTGTGATAATCGTGATTTTGAATCACGTTTCTCTTTTCGAACAACAAAAAATAACTTACTTGTTGCTATTTTAAAAAAAAAACAATGAATAATTGATAATTGATAAACAGTAAAGAAAAGCTATATATTATACACACAACTAATGCTACTGCAAGTTTGTAAATAGATCTATTTTATAACACACAAAAATATTTAATAAATATTAAATGTTTATGTATTTTTACTCCGTTCGTCTTTGACATTAGATGAGTTTTATGCGTTATATCGAAAAAGGGCGCAGAGTGATACCTCATGTCATATCTTCTCTCTGGACCTCTACTGCCTCTTATTGGTCAAGCCGCTGCCACTTCTTCGGCGCTGATTGGTCCGAGTTGTGGCGTGCGTCACGTTCGTAACGCCCTTATCGGAAGTGGCTGCAGACGAATTTTTTTGTACACCTGTGATCATGACCCGCAGAGGGATGTGAAAACTGGCCTGAAATGGTTAACCCAGTCACGTTTTAATGGTTTAAACGACTTTTATGTAGAGATAAGGAGCTGAAGACAACTTACGGTATGATGTTCGCGGTTTGCTGGTCGGTTCTGGCCGTAATTTTGTCGGTTGGAGCAGCTAAAACGGACGGAGACGATGATTGGGTTCATCTTCCTAACAGATGTGAAGGTAAAAGTGAAGTTCAGCAGCTGTTAGGGTCATTTTAAGCTCCTCACTGGGTCATCCGGTCCGCTGCTGGGCCTCAGTCACACGAACAGTCCCGATGTTTACTTTATTTACAGACATGAGATCTATTCTTCATTTCCATGGATTTGTTGTTGTTTTTGCCGCTGCTATGAACTGTTCTTCATTACTTTTCGTCCTATTTCAGGAATTTGTCTTTTTAAAATGACCCGAATGACGAGATCTTGGTCACAGTTACATGTTTAATACAATTGTACGTTTATATTTTAAAATATGAGAAGAATTAGTTGCCTACAGAGCAAGTACAAGCAAAAAAGTGAATCTGTAAATGCATATGAAAAATAAATTTTACCGAAGGGATCTTACTTACAGAACGTATAAATAACAATAATAGCTGCTGTTAGAGTAATAAGTGTATTTATTTTGTAAAAATACTGTATTATTAATGTAAAAATGTATTTAAGCAGCTTTATCATACTAGTTTGAGCTTAAATCAGTTATAAGAGTTGGAAAATGTTTGGAATTTCACAAATTATTTTTGATTTCAGAAGTTTATGTTCAAGAGCTCATTTCTCACCTAAAACCTGGAAAGTTTGCATATGATCTGAAGACAAATAACCTATTGTTGTCGTCTATATTTCTGTCCATAAATTGTCATAATAGTAAAGTCAGATTTTATCTGAAGGCTTTTGATGATTATTGGAGCTTTAATTGGAATATCTGGAGTAAAAATTAAATTCTGGAATGCATCAGAAATGCATTTTAAATTGCTTTTTTCATATTTTTCTGTATTAAACTGGATAAATTAGATGAGTAAATCATTTGCTAAAATTAAATATTAAACAAATGAATAAAAGCTACATAAATTAAAACTACTTAAGGATCAACCTGTACATTAAAACAATAGATCCAAGTTAAATTTAAAAATAAAGTTTTAATATTAAGTAAATAAATCCGTTGTTATTTGATTAAATCAGTAACAGATAGAAAAGTTGGACTTGTTTTTTTTTTTTTTTTCTGGACCAAAGAGAGATTTTATTCTCCATCATTTTAGACCTACATGCATAACTGAATTTGTTATTTTTGCTAATAAAACAGTAAACTTGAGCTCAAACTGTGGCTGGAAGCAGCAGCTGAAGCTCTGCAGTTTGTGCTGCAGAAAGAAATCTCCCTCGGTGACGTTTTGGCTTTTCCTGCTTCAGTCTGTAAGTTCGTCAGCATCGAGATGAAGTCGGCCTTCGAAGAGACGGGCAAGACGAAGGCAGTCATCGAGAGCAACTACAACTTCATAGACGGGAAGGGAGCGCCACCGGTTAAATACGTCAAGTCGTAAGTTTCTCTGCAGCTCTCAGTGAAGCGGTTGGGTTGAAAAGCAGAAATGAGACCTTGATTCTGGCACCAGGGGACGAGAACCCGGTCAGATCAGTTCCTGTGGAAGAACTCGATATAGAAACGGGCCGCGCTGCAGGAAATACTTTCTGAAGTGATACTTTATCTGCAGCAGCTTGTAGAGCAAAAGTACAGAGAAATGTAAGCAGTTTTACTTGCATAATTATTTAGTTTTTCTTCTTAGTTTGAAGCTGGATCTTTAGTTTTTAGGTGATATTTCTAATGATTGACATCAACTCACCAATTTCTGTTGCTGCTTCAGTGAACACAGGTGCAGCTTACACTTCAAAAACACCAAATATTACCAAGTATTTCGGTCTAATTTCTAGTGAAAATATCTTAATACACTGGAAATAAAGTTACAACAAACTTTTCACCAAGCTGTAGCAGCTTGTTTTAAGTCAATAATTTCTTAATGTTGATGAAAAAGTTGGAGTTACAAGTGAAATTTCACTATTTCTTTTATCATAACTTACAATATGAGAAAACGCCTTGCTCCACTAGCAGATCATTTCACTCGTAACTTGGAACTTTTTCACCAATAGTAAGGAATTATAGATTTATAACTAGGTTTTAACCATTAATTGTGTCAGTTATTTTGGTTTTTATGTTCAAAGTGAAATAAAAACATTAGAATTAGATTTAGGGATGTATGATACATCGGAAACAACTTCGGTATCAGATGATATTAGTCTTATTTTAGCATATGGTATCAGTTCAATAAGTAGATGCAGAAATATCAATATCGGTTATCGATATTAGCCCAAATTTTTGTATCAGTGCACCCTAATAAGATTAGAATATTAAATTAAACCTGTTAAAAACTTTTTACAGTAATCTGGTCTTAATGAAAGTATGTTTAGTAGCTGCCTAAATGTTTTTTAAAAATGTATTTTAATCTGACAAATGAAGCTAATTTACTGACCCACATGTATAATAGAAAATCAACCAATCTGCTGATGGACATGATTTAGGTAAAGTCCTCAGATGCAGTTCGTGTTGCAGAAAAACATGCAAACTGTGCAGAAAATATGAAGGAAAGAAAACAAAACGACTCTATGAGGCAAAAATGGTTCTTCTTTAAAAGGCTGAGGAGAGAAATGTGGGAGAAAGTTGTTGGTTTGGTACAAAAACAGCGATCCGATTTCTTTCTCCTCCTACAGCTCAGGGTAGCTGTAAACCAAGCCTAAACCAGACAGCCGTGACCTCTGACCTTTCAGCAGCGCAGCAGTGATAAAAGTTTATCTCAAGTTGAGCCGAGTCTTTTTGTCGTTTTCCAGAGATTTGCGATTCATCGAGGTTGTGGAGAACGTGTGCCAGAGGCTGCTGGAGTACAACCTGCACAAAGAGAGGAGCGGCAGCAACCGCTTCGCCAAGGTCAGACTGTCTGTGTGGTCAAGGTCAGACTGTCTGTGTGGTCAAGGTCAGACTGTCTGTGTGGTCAAGGTCAGACTGTCTGTGTGGTCAAGGTCTGGAGTGTGTGTATATATTTATCGAAAATAATATCATTTAGAATAAATGAAAACATAAAATAAAAACATTTTCTTTGTGATGTTTGACATTTCAAAGTTAAAGATTTAAAAAATTTAGGATTTTTTTAAAATCAAATTTTGAACGTTTTAAACAGAAAAACTTTCTTGTTTTTCCTAGAAAATTTCTGAAGCTCAAGTCAAAATGTCTTGAGTTTTTTGTCAGAAATTTACTCTTTTCATAGAGATATAATTTCATTTACATTTAAAACTTCAGTTGGTTCTTTGTGAATTTTAGCCAAAGATATTTGGAGTCTCTGTGGACGATCCAAAGTACCAGTGGTGGCTCCGGAGCCGCAGGTTGGAGACCCCTGATCCAGATCAGGTTTCTGGATGCTGGATGTTTTCTAGACAAACAGGAAGAGTTTTAAATGAAACTTAATTTTAAGATGTTTCTCCTCTCATCTCTGGAGCTTTTTTGTCTGAATTCATTTGGTGAAGAGAAAATGTCCTTAAGAAGTTCAGTTTCCCATGATTCCTGATCAGGTGTGTGTGTGTGTGTGTGTGTGTGTGTGCAGGGCATGTCGGAGACGTTCTCCACCCTTCATGGCCTGGTGCACAAGGGAGTGAAGGTGGTGATGGATATTCCCTACGAACTTTGGAACGAGACGTCTGCTGAAGTCGCCGACCTCAAGAAACAGGTGGTTGTTTTGTTTTTGCTTCTTTCCATATGTGCTGCGTTTGAATTAACGGGGTCAAATTTAAATTAAAAGGGTGAAATAATAACAGAACATACAATATTGATAAAATGCGAAAAACGACTGGGCGTTATTGACGACAGCGTATTGGGACCAGACTGAGATGATTTTTATATTTTTTGTAAATTAGGGGAAAACAGTTGTTTTAAAGTGAAAAAAGCTTCGATGGTGTTATCAGGCTCAGCAAATCCATCTGGTTCTTACTTTGAAATAAACAAAATCATTTCAAAGTTCTGTTACCGATAACTTACAGAAACTATAAGATGCTCAGCTTTCCTTATTTTAATATCCGTTTCTTTACTAAGTATCATGACTTTCATTTTGTTACTTTAACTTTATTCTTGCAAATCATGACTTCTGTTTAGTAATTCTTTGACTTTGATCTCGTTTCACGGCTTTATTTTTGTAGATTACAACTTGAGTCGGGTAATTCTGAAACTTAATTCTCGCTTTGCTACGACTTCTCACTTTGTTAAAACCTTGTTCTCGTATTATTGCGACTTTATTCTCATTTTGTTACGACATCTTTACTGTGTGGGTAAAACAAATCGGAGAAAACTGCAAATTGAAAGTGGCGCGCCCCGTTCTCGTTTTTAAAGAGCAGTGTGTGTGTGGACGTGTGTGTGCGTTTCCCAGTGTGACGTGATGGTGGAAGAGTACGAGGACGTGATTGAAGACTGGTACAAAGGGAACCAGGAGGAAGACCTGACCACCTACCTGTGTGAGAAACACGTCCTGAAAGGAGGAGACAAAGGTGAACACACTCAGAATGCTCTCAGGTTGTTGTTTGTTTTTCTGCTGACTGAATGTTTTCCCTTCGGCTGTTCTGGATTTAGAAATCTCGCTCAGCTCCTCAAACTGGAGAAATGTTTCCACTGGCAGGGTCGCACATAACGGAGGTTAAAAATCCCGTCTGGCCCGAGTTCACACCACATTCTTCTTGTTCTTTTTCAGCATTCCCGACTTTAAAGGAGCTTATTAACAGGAGAAAAGTTATAATTTATTTCCACTTGCCTTAAAAAGTTCCTCAGTTTGCAGATTTTGTGACTTTAAATGCTTTTTTTTTTTCAGAACACCTTGTTTGGTGCGCAGAGAAATGTGAAATAAAAACAAATTCACAAGAACAGATCAGCTGGACCTTAAATGTTTCTCTGCTCTGTTTGTGTTTGAGCAGCAGAAACATGTGAAACTGAAATGCATTCTGGGAGCGGCGAGCCGCCGGTTCTCAGGAGTTTATTTATACGCAGCGACCAGAGCCAAAAAACATCTGATCCAGGAAAATCCTCCACTGGAAACCCGAGCACGAAAACCTCCAGAGCTCGTTCTGACTTCAGTTAACATTTTCACCAGTTGTTGCTTCTTTGATGCAGCAGCAAAATAAATATTCTCTCTGTCTTATTAGCACTAAAGTGAGCTGCGCTTGATTTAAAGGAAAGGCTGCAGATCCATCTAACAACTTCATTCAGAATATTTTTTGTTTTAGTTTGTCATTAGGACTACATTTTATTCCCCCTTTTCCATAATTATCAAATGTTTCATTCAAAAAAATAACTTTTATTGTCTTTCTGGTAAAATTTTACATCTAATTTCTTTTGGTTCTTTAATTTAAATATATTTAATATTATTTATTTGAGAAAAAGGGAACCAATAAGTGTTTATGTTAGAATAGAAGCAGATGCTTGGATGTTGCCCAGTCATTTCTCGAGCTGCTACTTCAGATTACTTCAGTTATTGAATAAGCTTTTTTTCTTCTAAGCTTTTTTACCCATTAAAAATGAATATTTAAAAAAATCTAAATAAAAAAAATGATTAGATTCCTTTTTTAAGCAAGAACAGCATCATTTTATTGCCCAGAATGCAGTATAATTAATTACATCATTAATTTGACTGGAGGCTGTGCAGATGATAGAAACTGATGGTGTAACCAGATTGTTCGACATTTATTCATCTTTATTTCAGTTCAGTTTCTGTTAAATTACACGATGTGGGCAATAATCGCCCAAGCATCAACTTCTGCTGTTTTAATGAAGAAAACCTTAAAATTTATTGAATTTAAACATCTTATGTTGTTGTTTCAGGTACTTTTCTGATTAGGACTTTATTCTCATTTCCTGACTTTATTCCTGTAAATTACAACTTCATTCAGGTTATTTTACGACTTTATTCTTGGATTCTACCTTCATGAATCCTTATCTTTGTTTAGTTTTTGTTAAATTACACAATAAGACTTTGATCATCCAAACATTAACTTTAAGACTTAATGGATTCGGCCTTTAACTGTTCAATGAATAACTTTAAAATTAAGCTCCAACATTTTTTCCTCTTCCTTGTTTCTATGTTAAACATTTTTGTCTCTAATTTTGTTCCTTTTCACACCTTCGCTCACTCCATCCATCCATCCATCCATCCATCCATCCATCCATCCATCCATCCATCCATCCATCCATCCATCCATCCATCCAGCCTGCCTGGATGAGAACTGGACTCCAAAGAAGAAAGGAGACCAGGCAGCGATTGCAGAGGACAAGAAGAAGAAAAAGAAGAAGGGAGGCAAGAAAGGAGGAGAGAAGGGAGACGGGAGCCCAGACGGAGAGAAGACGACCAAGAAGAAAAAAAAGGAGAAGAAAGTGAAGAAGAAGAAAAAGAGCAAAGCTCCGGTGGAGAAGTCTGATGGAGGGCAGACGTCGGATGAGGAGATCCAGCCTGAGGTGCCTCTTTCTGGGCAGAAAACGGAGCTGTGAGCCGCCGGGTTTCCCTCTGGATTCTCCTGCCTGCTTCAAACAATCTGCAGCATCGTCTAAACAGGAAATGTGCTGAACAAGCACTTCCTGTTAGAGTTTTAAGGTCCTTTAAGCCAGGATGTTATCGTTGTTTTAGGACTTCATGGCAAATTGTTTTAATTTAAAAGTACCGTTTTGGTATTTGTCCTGATGTCTACATCCACGAATCAGAAGGAACGGCATTTAAATTTGGGAGCCTTTAAATTAATGAAAGTATTTAAAGGCTTTCATTAAAGCCTTTAAATACTTTAATATTTAAAGGCTTACATCATTAATTTGACTGGAGGCTGTGCAGATGATAGAAACTGATGGTGTAACCAGATTGTTCTACATCTGGTTACACCAGATGTAACCAGATGTACATCTGGTTAGTGTGAAGACTCGCACTAATTGAAGTGTGAGTCTTCAATTAGTCATTGAAGACTCACACAAGAGTCTTCAATGACTAATTTAAACAAAAGTTGGTGTCAGCTTGTGTGATTAAGATCATGGTTCTGTTGAAAAAAACTCAGTTTTGCCCCAAATTTATGTGACGTGAATCTGAAATCCCGACAGAAAGATGAGATTAAATAATTTATGAATGAAAATCAAGTACAATCTAATTCTACTTTCTTTTAAAAGATGCATTTTTAATGGTTTTCTGATTGTAAATGAAACTTCTTGGGAAATGAAAACTGAGGTCTGAGTCTAGAAAGCAAACTTTCACTTTAAAGTTGTGAAACTTTTGTCATATTTTTCGTCTCCTGACAAAGCGACTCGTTCTTTTCCTATTCGCTGTTTTCATACCAGTAAATTCCTGAGAGCTGGACCTTTAGGTACATTATTTTGTTTCATTTAAGTCTGTTTTTGTGCGCTGTACAGACGCTGCTATTTAAGGTGTGTGTGTTTGACCTCCGCTGTTGCATTTTTGTGTGTATTTTTACGAGATTTTTACTCTGGAGTAAGATGCTGGTGTTGATGTACTGGAGCTGGAACTATTTGAAACTCTGCAAACATTGGATGAAATAAAGTGTGTCAGTATGTTGCCTCAGTTTCTGTGGTTATAGAAGATTGTTTTTTGTAAGATAACTTGGTTTTAATTTGTTTCAAAACTATTGAATTTAGCCTTTTAAAGTTATGATGCAGCGTCCTTTTTGACCACTAGGTGGAGTCCGACTTCAAGTTCACAAACGGCAAGTTCCTTTAAAATACCGACAGGATTTTTGCAATTTGTCTTAAATTTTTAAATCAAACAAACTTTATCAGAAAGTTAACTTGAATTAAAAAACAGAACTGTATTGTAATTGTGTCCTCATTTATTTAGGGAAAAAGCTATCTAAAGCCAACCTGTCATTATTTAAAAAGTATTTACAATTTAAATGATCCTTAAAGGGTTCATTTGTGCCAGACCCCAAGCTGAATTATATGTTAATATATTCTGAACATGTTCACTGTAAGGTGAGAATCAACAAATCCCAGATATTTGTAAGTTGTTGCTCTGGGCAAATAATTGCCTAGAAAAAGTAAAGGGACTGGATAGGTGAGTAAAAACACATGCATTCTGTTTTCTCAACATTAATTATTAAATGATTTGTGTTCATGGTGTAATCTGTATTTCATCTGTTGTCAGTATTTACCCCACAGAAAAAGGACAGTATCGTTATACAAAAGGGAGGTTAAAAAAACCGTGAAGATCAGTGCTAATAACAAAGAGCAGCAGTCTTAAAATACTGCCGTGCGGAACAACCCAATGATCAAATTTAACAAAAATGCATTGTTAGCTGTAACAAATTAAATATATCTGGTAAATATCGGTTTTTCAGACATAGACCGTGACATTAAAAATATGAATTCAATGACAGCGCCCTCTGATGGCAAGGCATCTGTCGAAAACAGAATCTGGTGTAAAATCGCTGTTTTTATTCTCGACGCCATTGTGGTTAGCAAAGATGGCGGCTAGCTAACCGTTTGCCAGTTAGCCTCTAACAAAGTCTTAGCTACTTGCGTTTAAACAAGAATAAAGCTGGTTTTAACCAGTTTTCCCACTTGTTAAACAAATGGGATCGCTACATCTTCTAGCTCACTGCTAATGAAGAAAATGAAGAGAGATAACAACAAAAGTGATTAGCACCGAAACATGAACACCGGACTCTACACTTCATCTTTTCGGACTCAGAGTCATCATTAGAGGTAAGCTGATCCTTTTATTTTTATTTTTTTACAGCTGTTTATATTAGCCAGCTCTGGCTGAGATGTTGTGGGTTGAATTGTTGAAAAATAAAGGTTAAATGTTAAGCCATTTCCCGTTGGTTGGGGAAATGGCTAAAGGCCGATTCCACCTAATTTTTCACTACCTTGAGCGTCTTTAATCTCTTCTAGTTAAAATCGCTCAGACTCATGAACTGATTCGTTGTACACAACCACCAGAATATTTAAAATCCAGTTTGTGATTTGTGAAACCTTTACTTGATGGGCGATTTAAGCACAGTTTTGCATCTCAAACTGAGTTTGAATGAATCTACTGTTTGTGTAGAACAATCTAGTCCAGGTTTGAAGAGTCTAAGTATTGTAGTTTTTAAACTATACATAGTTCCTACAAGTCTGAACCGGAAGTGATCAGTGCCTCTGAACCGCCATCTTGGTAAGCAAATGCAGAGCATAGCATAGACGCATCATTTCTTCCAGACGAACAAAAAGAAAATATATTGATACTTTTGGCCAATGTGCAAGAGTATGAGATACAGAATATCATCAGTAACTCCATGGTTGTCATAAGAGAAATGGATACCTATCAAGGTGGCTGTCGGCGATAAAGTCCCCGGAAGTGACGTCACATGATAACTATGTATAGCAAACTGAAGATACTCAACCCTGTTGTGGAAAATTAGGTGGAACTGGAAGCTGCAATCGAAGGGAAACTTTGGCTTAGTTGACGATTATTTCAACAATTCAATGATTAATTGTTTCAGACCTAACATTTTACATAAAATGCAGGTGCTGACTTGTGAAATAATTTGATTTAGGACATAATGGTGGTTTTTAAAGTAATTTTCCCTGAAGGAGCTAATGGTGATGGACATCAAATATTGTGATCTAATTGAGCTTTCCTGCAGTACCGTATTTGTGCCATAGGTGTCACCGCATCATTTGTTTTAGTGACATCTTCTATATTGCTTTGCACTTGACCAGCAGCCAAATCCACTAAACCAGAGACTAAATGAAATGGTGTGTGTGTGTGTGTGTGTAGGTGGGTGTGTTTCCAAAGTTAATTCAGTCCGTCAGCTTTCCCATCCCCTTTCAACGCTTTTTTTAATGTGTGTTTCTCTCTCTCTCTGTGTGTGTATGCTTGTCTTTTATGCTAGAATTGAGATATCAACTGTTATCGCTCGACAGGTGTGTGTATTTTTACATATCCACCATTCATATAAAAAATGTTTTGTCTGAAATGTGTGTGTGTGTGAGGTCCTGAATGTGTTTATTTATTGAATAATTCACAGCTGGGTGTTTATAGAAGAAACTGTGGCCTCAGAGCTGCAATAACACAGGGCAAATATTGTGACTTACACACACATGAACACACACTTTATCAGCCATTTCAGGGTTGACGGTTTATTTGGACACTGTGGACGGTGGAAATGGAATGTAAAGAGAGCAGACACGTGAACACACACATTTATATTACCCATGGAGATTTCTCACTATCTTCATGTGCTCCATATCTTCGGTCTGTGCTTCTTTTTGCATCCCAGTGAGGAAAATTGATGTGCTTCTTGGGTAACCTTGAACTATTTTAGATTTGAGCTGCTTGAATTAAACATTCGGGTAGTTTACACAATGTCTGGCTCAGATTTTCAGTAATATTGGGATGAAAGATGAGGTTGAGGGTTCAGTCTGTGCTGTATAGACAATTTATTATAAAGCAGTTGGTAGCACTGATGTTTATTTTTAAGCAGCTATGAGCCATGGTGGCGAAACCAGAAACTGTTACAAATTACTCAACAGGTCGTTGCTAGTAGGGGTGCACCGATTTATCGGCCAGCCGATTTATCACTGCCGATTTCCTTAATTCTGGGAGATCTGGCGATTTTTACTTGAGAAGCCGAGCTTATCCACCAGTGTTATCAACCTCAGCAGAGGTCTAAAACTCAACCACTGCGCCTTTCTCTTCTCCCATGGGAGAGGTTTGACTGACAAACCGGCCGACCAGCTCATGTCTGCACATTTACAGTTAACAATCGTCGCCCCATTGTTGCCAATTCAGCAACTTCCCTCATGTATCAAGCAACATTTCAGACAAAAAAATGGTATCGACCGAAATCGGAATCGGTAAGTTAGGCTTTTTTAAAAATCGGTTATTGCCAATCGGCCAGAAAACTGCAATCGGTGCACCCCTAGTTTCTAGGTAACCAAAGAATGAGTTACCGTATTTTCCGGACTATGAGGCGCACTTAAAAGCCTTTAATTTGATGAAAAAACAACAGTGCGTCTTATATGTTCTGGAGTAAAACAGGTTGTGCTTACTGACCTCAAAGTGATTTTGTGTGGCAAATCACAAAGAAGAACTGCTTGATCTGCAATGCATTTAAGTTTAATATGCAAGTAACAGACTTCCTGCAATAAGTTTGGTGACTTTAATGCAACATAAAAATAGTTAGAAGGGAAAGAAGTGCATATTTATATTAAGCTTTATGTTTTGGAGCCGTTGAATTATTGCATATTGATCAGTGTGATGTTTATAACATTTCCAAACTGACCTCACAGTAATGTTTGGATCAGATTTATTCCTCTGGCAGCGGCTCGTCGTTCAGTCTGATGTGACCTGGAGAAAAGGAAACAGACCTTTAAATGGAAATATTGATTCTTTTCATTTGAATATTCATCTGGTTTCCTCTGTCAAAGTGTGTGTGTGCGTGTGTGTGTATCTCAAATGTCCTTTCAAGTCCTGTTCTTTCCCATCTGGCAGGTGTCCAGTTATTACTATGTTATACTGTATTATATCTACTACAAGCGCTCTGATGTTCCGTGTTTGTCTTTCTGTTGGCTTTAACCTTCCTGATGTGTCTGATGAGTGAAAACTGCAGTAAGATTTAGTTTATTACTAAGAGTAAAGAAAAATCATGTAATTGTCTGCAACAGGAAATGACAAATAGTAGAACTGCTTAATCATGTGGTGTTAAATATAAAAATAATTTATTTTAATTTTTTAGGATTTTTTACTTAGTTACTGTTGTTAAAATTAAGATATTTATATCTGATATCTTCAGCATTCTGACTGGTCAGAATGACATTAATATCTTGAATTGGTATTTTGTCAAGTCAAAATGTCACAGATGTATGTAAAATTTTGATATTTCAATTAAAAAATGTGAAAAAATGACCTTTTCTAAGCCGTTTTAAGTGCATTGTAATTGGAAATTAATTTAATATTTCTATAGAAGTCATCAAGTTAAAAAGATTGAATGCAATAATCTTACCATTCAGTATTCAGTTTTTTTTCAGTGTAGGACTGACAACAATATCAGGAAACTACGGCTGAAATGATTAATCGGACGAATCATGATTCATCGATTGTTGAAATAATCGTCAGCTAATTTATTAATCAATTAATCGATTTTAAAAAATGAAACTGCACACTCAGCAGATATTAAGTAAAAATTTTACTAAGTGTGTTTTGTATTTCAGATAAATATCTGTAAAGTTAAGCTTCACTAAATCAATGCTGTTATTGTATTTTAGGCAATAAATCTTTATTTTGTTATTTAAAAAATAGTTTAATTCTTCATATGATTCTTATAATTTAGTATTCTACAGAAAGTCTAAAGTGGTTAATTGAAAATTCAGCAGAATGTGTCAATAGATTAAAATCTGATTAACCGATTATCTAGATTAATCGATTACTAAAATACTAGTTAATTGCAGCCCTGCAGCACAAATTACTCACCTAGAAACCAGCAAATGTTTGCCTCTAATTTGCAGAAATGGACGTAGTGAAGCAGTTGGACATTTAATTAGCTTTGCTACAACAACAAGTACCAAATGTCCAGATCTAAGAACGACCAAAGTTAACTTGTCGTAGTCTTTTGTTTCCTCTGAAAGGACAACAGATGCAGCTTAAATGCAGAATGAATGCGAACCGCCGTGCTGCAGCTGCTGCTGCTGCTTCGCTCCACCTGGGGTATTTTTGGTTTTGTCCCAGTTGTGTTCGACTTCTTGGTGTTGAGAAGCAGGTGAAGGGTGTCTGGTGACAGAATGCCTGGTGTGTAGCCTATTTTCCGGGTTTTGACCTTCCTGGAGAGCACAGAAGGAAGATGAATTGGAGCGCTGAGGCTGTCCACTCTCTGGAAGGAAAAAAGCCCTACAGTAATCGATCGATGCTGCGCGGCTTATTTCCTCTTTAAACTCGCTGCTTTTACACAACTCTCAAGTTTAACTCCGTCACCTCTGATTCGGTTTTCCTTGCAGGTAATAATGGAGGTCAGCTTCAGGTTTGTACATAAAAAGCGAGTTTTCTGTGGCGCGACATGGAAAACTTCAAACAGCCGCCAAACAAATCAAAGGAAGTAGATTACAGTCGGTGAGTCAGAAAAATAAAACGCTGACCTCTGCAGCTAACAGGTCGTCAGGGTCAGGGTTAGAAAGGTCAGACTATCAGATCTGTGTCCCGTCTTCCTCCTTCACACGTCGTTCTTCTTCATTTCACTTCCAAACTCCTCGGCTCACTTTTGCGTCTCCAGAAACTGTTGATTCTCGCTCTGCCTTGACTTTCGGGTCGTAGCGACTGAAGCTGAGGAGAGCGATGGCATTTTCTGCTGCAGCGTTGGAGGTGTTGATGTGAACGAGGTTGAAGGGCTTCCTGCAAAACGCAGAGCTGGAAAAGAGACACTTTCATTAAAAAAAAAAAACTGGAATAAAAATGTTCTACGACAGAGTACTAGGTCCATGATGAATGTTTTTAACATTATGAGAATATAGACATGGTATTATGAGAATAAAGTCATAATATTCCAACTTTATTCTCATATTATGACTTTATTCCTGTATTATTTTGACATTTTTCGTTTGACTTTATTCTCATAATAAGACTTTATTCTCGTAATATTCCGACTTTTGACTCATATTTTGACTTTATTCTTATATTAACTTTTTGTATTACTTCATTCTCATATACTACTTTATTCTAATATACTACTTTATTCTCACATTATTAGCATTTCATTGTCATAATATTATGACTTTATTCTTGTAGCATTACGACTTTAACTGAATAAATAGGGGTATAAGTTTATGATTCATGACTAAGCATATTATAACTAGCTTGTTGTCATAAACCAGTTTCGGACATCTGAAGTGTTGAAGCTGATTTTATGCTACGACGGCCTGCCGTACAGCCTGATGCGTGTTTTGCTGCTGTATGCTCCATCACATGTTAAACTGGTCAGTTGCGTGACAGCACAACAATGCGTCCACTCAGTGGGGACTTGTTTGTGTTTTAATGTGGCCACTGTTGGGCCTGTTCACGGTTCACAAGAACTGGCTCAAAGTTCAGCTCACAGTCCAAACCTGAACTCATTCATGTTCACCGTTCACCACTTGGACCCATTCAAAGCCTCGCTGTGAATCTGGGTCATGTTTAGTTATGTGTTTGTTTAGATTTTTTTTTTCAAGTCTGTAAAAACTTGCTGTGAGTTATTAGATGACATCAGGTTTTATTTAGACTAGAGCAATTCATATAAAAAGCTTAATAACTACGGATACTGTGTTAGACGTGAAGACATTTATATGTTAAATATAACAATATAATTAATATAATTATGTGATAGACTGGTTTCCTCCAGTTTAGTTACAAATCAGCTCATCTTTAGACTAATTTGTTGTTGCTATGTTTATTTATTATTCAGAGTTGCTTAAGTCCCAATGAAAAGTCCAACAGATTTACTTTCACAAGTGGAGCATTACAGCTTTCGTTAATTTGTTGGCTAATTGACTTTATGTCCAATCTTTTCTTTCTTTCTTGTGATTAATTTTTAAAATGTTTACTTTGGCATATATTGTAGAAAAAAATTACATTAGATAAGATTTAAAATATATTTTATTATAATTTTAGCATAGAAACCCTTAATATGCTGTATTTAAAATGACAAAAAGGCTGAATGTTTAGCAGATACTTTATTTGAAATAAGTCAGTATATTCTTATCTGTTTGAGAGGAAAATAAACTATAAATAAATGAGAACCACTGAAGGAAACAAAAACCTCTGAAGAAGAAACGGAACGCAACTTCCTTCTTCGCGAAATGTTAACCTGAGTCTCCGTTTGATTAAAGTGAACTCTGGTTCAGTTTGACTGGATGCAAGCAGATCGGACACTGCTCCAAAAGCAGGAAGTGGACTACAGCACAAGGCATTCTGGGTAAATGCAACCAAAACAAACAAGCGAGTATAGTCCAAACACAAAAGAGAAATCCTACAACCGCTAATATCTGACGCTACTCCATTTTTGTTCCCATTTTGTGAAGTAGAAAGTTGCACTCTATTTTCTTCTTTAGTTTTTACGTCGTGTCCTTCAGTGGTTCTTGGTGCAGCGCCCCCACAGGCGAGGCGGAGAACAGTTTTTTTCAACTAGTTTGCTTTGTTTTACACACTGCAGCTGAAAATGTTTCTTCCTAATCGAACCGAGTCTAAATCAGCCCAACTTTCTCCTGCTGTTGCCGTTTTCTACTTTTAGCTGAAGAGCTGAGACTCGTCTGAGCGCGGCGCGGGCCTCTGGACCCGCGGATCGTTGCTCATGAAACTGCTCGGTGTCGGTTAAATTTCCAAACGCACGCTGATCTCCCGGCCTCGTGGGGACGGTCCAGCGGTGACACTAACGGCAGACTACATGGCATTTAGAGCAGAAAGGTGTGACATGCAGGCCTTCACACTCGCTGTCTGCCTCCCTCACACACACATCTGCATACGCTCACTCCTCGGGGCTTGCCATTATTAACAGCTGACCTTTGGACATTTAGGCTGTGAAATGATCACACAACAGACCTGAGGACTGGATATCACAGCTCACTTCAGATCTATTCTGCTCCTCGCTCTCGCTCGTTTTCTAAAAAATTTAACAGTTCATTGTTTCTTGTTAAAAGGTTGGTTTATTAAATGTGAATGCAGATCTCTTTTTTTTCTGGTGTTTTTGTATTTTGGCAAAATTTTTTCATGGTTTAATGGGCTCTGACCATTTTAGTAAAACGGGGTTGTCTGAGCCCATTTAGTTAAAATGAGCTTAATTGAATTATTATTTTTGTCTTTTCTAACATTGATGGTCATGAAGGCTGTTTCCAATTGGCAGTTCTTGTGAAATTCTGTATTTGTTTTAGTCAAGTTGGATTTCTCAGAGGAATTACAATTAAATCAATTTAAAATGTAAAAATTATTTAAAAAAATTATGGATGCTCCGATATGAAGATTTGGGCCGATATCTATATGCGATGTTAATATTGCTGATAATTAATATTTACTGATATTGTACATATTTCTCTACTGTTTTGATGCCATTGGAAGAACAATGGACCAAAAATAAACGAGACGGAAATAAATATTGGTTGTTAATATTTGACCAGTTTTATGTATCGGGTCGATATCCAAAATATTGATAATGTCGATATCGCATTTTTTAACCAATATGTTAAAAAAATATCATCCGATACCGATATATCAGATTCGGACGATACATTTATTTTTAATTAAATGATGTCTTTTGTTGTTTACCAACTACTAGACCTATTGCAATAAGTGATAAATAAATTAATTGCATCATAAATTGATTCAAAAGTAATAATCTCCATTTGCATAATTTGTCCTTTTTCTTTTTTGATGAACTGGTTGATGAAAGTCTTCTGTCTGGTGTCTCAACTTGTCCATTTTCTGAACAACGTTTTTGTTTACAGAGACTTCATAATTCATTTTATTTGTTTTTTCTATTATTTATTTATCTTGGATATTTAAAATGTCTCCCAGTTCCGGTGTTAAATGTTCATTAGAATTTAAAGTGTATTGGTCTTTGAGAATATGTTCTCTGATTTTTCTGCCTTATTTTATCTGAACCAGCTCTCACTGTATGTTTGGTTGTGGTCCATTTCTAAGCAGATTGTTGACGCTGAATTGGGTCACTAGCGTTGGGTCCAACTGTAACTACTAGATGAGAAAATGCCCACATAATGAGACGGTTGACTTTCTGCAGGAAGTTTTCGTCGAATCTTCTCCCTTTTAACCAAACTCAAAGTGTTTTTTTCTTGGCATGTGTGAAAGAGCCCGACTCGGCCAGAGCCGCGGTTTACTTCCGCCGCTCTTTTTAAGCGACGCGAAAGCGTTTCTGGAAATGAAATAAAAGTGAATGGAATAACAATTTGCCAATGCGAATCCTCAGTCAGGCTGCAGGAGTTTGGTCTCTTCTGTCCTCCTTCGCTCTCCATCTGTTTTCCACGTAGTTGCGCTCCAACCAGATCTCAAACCAAATTTAAACTCGGAGATGACCAGCTGCTATCTGCGCGAGGCTGTCCAAGGTCATCCAGCTAAAACAACACGGCCAATACAGACCGGTTCCCTCCGGATCAATTTTCGCCTCAATCACCCTGCGTCCAGTCATGAAGTTATTTTGATTCCTCTTCCTCCGTTCTCACGTTCTGTCCGTCTCCGTCTCCCTCTGGTCAAGTGTCCGCTCTGCCTGCCAAGCTCCTGACTCTGTTTCAAGAGAAAAAAAGAGAAAGTTTCTAATTTGGTATCAATTTATGTCCAAAGTTGGAGCGTGTGTGTGTGTGTGTGTGTGTGTGTGTGTGTGTGTGTGTGTGTGTGCATTTCTTTCTTTATTCCCATGATGCCATATGGGCCACACACACGTCCACCCCCAGGATCGCGGCTCACAGAAATAGTTGCTCCAATGTTTTGCTGAAAACATGTTTGTTCTTTTGTCCTCGTCTGTTTTTGTGTCTGTAATGATCAAAAGTTCTGTGTTTTTCATCATAGTTTAGTTTTATGTCGTTGTGATTCAGTTTGTATTAGTTATTGTTGGTTAAATAGGGTTAGGGTAGCGTAAGAGTTAGAGTTAAATATGTCGAGGCTTTCTTTCTTGTAATGTTGATAATTATGTCTTTTCCAAATTATTACATGTATTTTACTTGGCAATCCCAATAATGCTTCAGTTCTCCCGATTGCTGGTGCAGCTTTTCTTTCTTCCACTCAATTTTCTAATATGCTTTCATACAGACCTCTATCACAAGATATTACAATTAAAACCACCTTTTTAAGCTCAGTTATGGAGTTTTTATCTCCAATTAGAAGGACTGAAGTTGTGCAAAGAAGAAAAACCTCCGTGTTAAATCCTTTCTGCAGTCTCAGAGTTGAGTTGTGGCTCTCAGCTGTGTTTACTTTGTGTCTCCGGAAGGATTCCCCGTTGGAGCCTGGTTGGGTTGTTAGTGGATGTTTAGGGCAGGTGTTCTTACGTTTCCTCCTTTTAACACACAGTTTTCTTAACTAACATACCGAGAGCCAGATTTTCTCGTCTCTTCCTGCTCTGTGTTTTCGCTGTCCATTTGTCCTCGATGGAGATAAACTGCTGTTTACACTTCAGGTCAAGCTGGAAGTCAACCGTGACCGC